TCATTGCCTATTATTTAAATTCCCAGTTGATCATCAATCGCCTTGTTGCTTTATTATTGTTTTTCTTTCGCCTGGTTTGATATTCATTTGAATGAAACAACAACATTGTTTCATAATATCGTATGATCGATACAACCAGCTGTTGCTATGCGACATATGTAAAAGCATTCGTATGATTCCAATAAAATGAGTGATAAACCAGTATTAAATAATGGTGATCGTATTACATTAAATTATGAAAAAAACTTTTCATCCAATTACATAAATCATCTGTAATCAAATACAGTTCTCAAATGCTGTATATTATTCATCATACATGATATTTAATAATATATCGGGTATAAATACTAGAAAATTGAGATTCATTGGGATAACAATAAACCATTATATACCGAATGCACCTACACGCATTGCAAATATGGATGATGAATTGTTGGTGCAATTTCCGTATCGGTGATGAATTGCGAACTATATTATGTATATATGATTCGTACGTGAAGAATTTCAAGGATGTAGTCGTTTGTTGTTTTGGGGGTTTTTTTTTTTATCTCCCAAATCTAAGATAGGGAATTTAGATTCATGTACACAACTTGGATAAACGCACATTCGATTAAAAAAAAAGCGATTGCGCCATAATTAAAAAACCGTATACTTTAGGCTATGTGGAAAATATGATCACAAAATAAATGGATTGTCGGACGTGGGTAACGGTTAATGCGATACCTGGAGACATTGGAATAACATCATAATCCGGTTGTTGTAATTAGTGTAAAGATCAAGATTAAAATACCCCAAATAAAATGCTAATTTATTGTATTACTGTACGTTAGGATCATCCATCCTCATAATTAGATAAAGTATGTTCCGGGAATTTATTTGAAGTTTCGGTTACACGGAATTAGCCAGGATTATTCGGGTTTTCTTTCTGACCACACCTTATCATTCATTTCATTATTTACGCTTATACGTGTCACCTGACAAGTTGATAGGTGTAAATATTATTTTTACGTGAGTACTTATCTTGCAAAATTCTCATACTTGAGATTTCCCCAATTGACAAAATGTCACAGTGGCTACAAGACTCCATTAAAAATGGCCTCATAAAATTCTTTGACTTCAACGAGTTCAGCGACGTCAAGGTGTTGGCCCGAGGTGCTTTCGGTGAAGTTTCGAGAGCGTATTGGAACAGCGGTGAGAAAACGGTAGCGTTGAAAACTTTGTATAACAGTCCCGAACTGGAAAATGACAAGGCATATAATGATTTTATTAACGAGGTAGGCATAAATGGCGATGGGTGAACGTAAGAAGTTAAAAATTCAGATGGATGTGACGAATGCTTGTAAGGGAGAAGGTGAATTGATGAAAGACATTTTCTCAAAAAAAGAAAGGATTACTGACAAAAAATTTTCATTCTGATGCCCAGTTTCAGTTGATTCGTTCGGTCGATTTTCACGATAACGTTATAAGATTCTTTGGTTTAAGCCAAGGTGCCTCGACTGTTGTGTCTGACCACATTCGCATCGATAGTATTCCTTCTTTTAACATCTTCATCTTAACTAGATATCCCAAATAATCGATATTTCATGGTCTTACAGTACGCCGATGATGGAAATCTACGGGATTATCTGCGTAAAAATCATAAGGATCTTGATTGGCCTAGAAGAATACAAATGGGAATAAATATAGCGAGCGGTCTTAAATGTATACACGAGCGTGGCATCGTACATCGAGATTTGGTAATTTCCTCATTTTTCCTTTTAAGACGTAAAAAACTGCCGTTCAATCTACAACCTGCGTTAACCTATCTAAAACACAACTGTTTAGCATTCCAAAAACATACTCGTGCATGATGGAAAAATGATGATAACAGATTTTGGTTTATCAAAAGTGGGTCAGGCAAATTCAAATTCCGCGGTGGTGGGGATGGCAGGTTACGTTGAACCACAATGCTTCTCGAATTCAAAATACAAACGGGACAAGAAATCAGACATATATAGTTTGGGCGTGCTATTATGGGAAATATCAAGTGGGGTACCCCCATTCAAAGATCTGGAAATGTTGGAAATTATTAAGGCGGTGGAGGCTGGTACGAGAGAATACCCGGTTGAGGGTACCCCCATAGACTATATGAATATCTAACCAGGCGAAAGAAAAACAATAATAAAGCAACAAGGCGATTGATGATCAACTGGGAATTTAAATAATAGGCAATGA